CGATGGATTCATTGATATTACACTCTGCCAGCGCAATGCAACCATAAACTGCACTCTGGCGGCCAGGCAGTGGGCAGCGCTGCCGTGCGGCACATAGCAGCCACCTGGCCCAGAGATCCACGGGTGGGTGGGCCGGGCTGGTGAAGGTAGCGGCCAGTCAGCCAGCCTAATGGATTCCCTCGCCCCGCGTACAAGTTGTCGGCGGCAAGGCCAACCAGGCTCACCGTCAGCTGCTCTCCGGCTTGGCCGGCAGGCCAAGCATTTGACGCACCGATTCTGCCTTGTCTGAGCGGCCCAGGCAAGCAAAGCTCTTCTTCCTTGCCTTGCCCACCTGCAACAGCAGGGCAGCATCGGCAACACAGCACTGAGAGGCTTGGCAACCAACCCTTGCGGCCCTACCAATCCCCCCAGCCAACCGCGCCGCGCATGCAACCCCGCACCTGCCGTGCCTCCAGGCACTGGTCCACCAGCTTGGCCGCCTGGATGGGGGTGCACTGCTCCCTCTTCGCCACCTCCTCCACTAGCTGCATCGCCCTCACAAACTGGTGCCAGGTCCTGCGTCGGCCTGACCGCCATGACTGTTGCGGGCCCAGCTCGCCGCGCTGGCTGGCCTGCTCCTGCTCTTCCTCCCTGTCCTTCCACGCCGGGTAGCCGTTGTGGCCCTCATAGTACAGGGTGGCGGCCTGCATGCAAGGTTCAAAGAAGGGAAGAGTTGCTCACAGGGCAGGTGCGGCAGCGCCAACGGCATCGGCTGCCGCAGCGCAGCGGCAGCAGGGCGGGCGGCACAGGCTTACCCATGTGGCGCTCGGCACCAAGCTCAGGCCGTTGCGGGGCAGGTTGCAGTCGAGGCCAGCCCACCTGCTGACAAACGAGCCCCTTGCTGAGGCGCTTGCAGGGGTGGGACAGGCGCTTCACGAGTTGTGTGGCGCAAGCGGTTCCCCTTGCCCTGGCCTGGGTGCCTGGCCCCGAGCCCCCCCCCCCCCCCCCACACACACACACCCACACACACTCACGCACCCTCCCCCGGTCACCTTGGTGACGGCGGCCGCGTGCGCCTCGTAGTGCAGGGCGGCGGTGAAGTTGGCACCGTGGTATAGCGGCATGGACCAACTGCGGCAGGCGGGCAGGCGACGGGCGGCAGGGGTGAACAACAACGCAAGGCTGGTGGGCCGGATTGAATGCGAGGCCATTCTGCACTCACAACTCCAGCAGGCCGTCCTTGGTACTGATGTCGGGGACGGGCTGCTGCTGGATCTCGAATCTCAGGGCCAGGTACGCCGCCTCCGCCGTCACCGGGCACAACTCAGGCTCACTGGCAGGGATCCAGTCGTACCACTGCACCTCGCCTGCTGCGGTGCGCTTGCCGCCCCGCAGGACGGTGCGGTGCACCAGGCAGTCGGCCTCGCCAATGACCTTTTGCGGCCGAGGCGCCGCAAGGTCTGCCAGGTAAACAGGCAGCGTGTCGTCGCTGCGGCCGATGCCCTTCAGGCACGCCAGGTTGGCGGCCCTGCAAAGCGCACCAGGGTGGCGGGTGCAGGTTGTGGGCAACGCCAAGCGCACGCCCACCAGTGGAGCAAGGCCGCAATGTTGCAGCCGTTGTGGGCGCATGCACGCACCAGTCGCGCGTGGAGGCGATGTCGCCCTGGCTGAGCCACCAGTGGAAGCAGGCCATGACCTCCTCATCCGTCAGCGACTCTGCCGCTGTGTTCTTCTGGGGGTCACCAACCGGCCTGCACAAGGCGTGGAGCAAGGAAGGGCGCCAGCAGCTTCATCGAGCAGGCACGCAGGCTGGGGGCAGGCAGGCAGGCAGGGGGTGCAGGCTGGTGGCATCGGCAGGGGGGCAGGCAGGCACTTTGGTGGCGCACCGTCCCTTCTTGGGCAGCACCAGGGCGCAGCCGTTCATGAACTCCACCTGCAGAGCGGGCGGGGACAGCAAAGAAATCAGCCTTGCTGCAGCCTCGCCCAGCAAGCCAAGCAATCATGTGTTTTGCAAGCAGTAAGGCATGGGTGGCGCCAGCGGGCGCATGTCGGGCTCACTTTGAACTCGCGTGTGGCCATCAGCTCCCTGGCATCAGACCAGCCGTTGCTGATGCACAACTGGTTGTATTTCAGCACAGCCGCGTTGCGGACGGCGCGTAGCAGGCCGAATGACTGCAGCCACCAATGCAGACAAGGTGTTGGCTGGTGCAGGCAGGGGCTGGCCGGGCCAAGCAAGTGCAGGGCTGGCACGAGTGTCAAGCGGGGCAGGTGGTGGGCGGCGGCATTTACCATGGACTCCTTCTTCCCCCTGTAGTTGAAGCAAGGCATGTTGTTCGCCACCCAGGCAATGAACTTTGCCATGATCGTGACCACCTGCATCGCGTCCTGCGCTGCTGCCAGGGTGAAGCCTTGAATGTTGCAGAAGGCCTACATGTGCACAGGGGGAAGGGGGGTCGGGGGGCGGGCCCAGGCAGGCCAGCAGGCTGGTGCTACCTGGCGGGGCGGGGCATAGCTGGGTTGGTTGGCTGGTGCGCTGGCGGCGCCGAGCTGCCTGTGGCAAGCAAGGTCACCTCCAGCTTGCGCAGGTGGCTGTCATACGACTTCAGCGTTTTGTCCTGCAGGCGCTTGCGGGACTTGCGGGCCAGCTCCTCCTCGGTGTACCTGCAGCAACGGGGGCAGCCAGCAGGCGAGGAAGTGAATGCCTGCAGGCAGATCCGGCAGGTCCGGCCGGCAGGGAGGCAAGCAAGCACGCACTCGGGGTTGCGCAGCTTGACGGCCTTGCCGCTGCTGCCCCGCCGGCGCTTGTACGCTGGGGCATCGGGCGAATCAGCCTGGTGGCTGCCGCTGTCGGCGCCTGCCTCTGGCGGTGCCCTGCCCAGCGCTGCCGCAGCCGCTGCCCATTCCGCGTCTGCATCGCTGACGGCGTCCTCATAGTCGCTGTCGTCCTGCTGCTGGCTGGGGCTGCTGCAGGGGCTGCTTCTGCAGCTGCTGGGCCCGCGGGTGGCCTTGCTGCGCCGCGCCTTGGGGCGGGGGAGGGGCGGAGGGCGGCTGCCGAGCGGCGGGCGGGCACCGGGCGGCAGCGCCGACTGCTGCAGGCTAGTGGACTGGTGGATCCAGTGTGTTGCGGCATCGATCTCCGAGTCGTCCGCTGCCTCGACCATCTTTCTGGGCTGGGTGCGGGCGCGCTGGGGCCGCGGAAACGCCTCTAAGCCCATGGCTGCAGGCGGGAGGCAAGGGGGGAGAGGGAGCGGGGAGCGTGGGGTGGCGCCAGGAGCACAGGCAACAGGCTGCATGGGCAACAGGCTGCATGGGCGCAGCCGGCCAGGGGCAGCCGTTGTTGACAGCCGGCAGTGCACCTGGCCGTGTGGGGCGCGCCCAGGGCGCCGCGGTGCTCCCTTGCTGATGCTAGGCCCAGGTCTGGCGCCGCGGGAGGCCGCGCAGGGCAACAGACGGGCAGTTGTGGTGTGTAAGTGTGCCAGGAAGGCCCCTGGGGGCGCGCTGCCGGGTGCCCCGGTGCCCCAAGAAAAACTGATGCAAGAAATACGGGTGGGGGGACGCGGGGCACGTCCCCGCGTGGGTGTCCCCCAACATGTGGCCACGTCCCCCCACCCCGGTCTTTCCTTTGGGAAAAGAGGCGTTGCGGCACTGGCGGGAAGTGTGGCTGCTGATAGCGAGAGAGTCCCGCAAGGCGGCTCCTCATGACAGGAACATGGCTGTCCAGTCGTCTTGCAGCGGCGGCAGCGCGTAGGTGGTGGCTGCGATATCGATGCTGCCGCCAGAGCTGGCAGGCCTGCCTGGAGGGCACTGCTCTGCCGCTGCCGGGGATGTGCTGGCAGCGACAGCGCTGGCTGGGCCCTGGAAGGCGTCACAGCGAAGCGCCGCTGGCGCTGTGGCAGCTGGCGTGGCAGCGGCGGTTGACAGCATGGCGGTGGCTGCAGGCTGAGGTGCCGAAAGCGCGGGGCCGGGCCAGCTCTGCGCTCCAGGCGGGGCCCAGCCTGCCTGTGCAAACCCCAGCAGAGGATGCAGGAAGGCAGAGCTGGCGGCGGAGGGCCGCCTGCTGGCGCTGTCGCCGCCCCACTGCCACCCGCCGCCCCACTGCCACCCGCCAGCCGGCTGCGCCATGCTGGGTGCCAGGTACAGCGGCACGCTGCCAGCCAGGGTCAGCTGCGGCTGGGGCGGGGGCGGGGCAGGGCATGGCAGGGGGTGAGGCAGCGGCTGGTGGGCCTGGGCCGGTTGCCGCGCTGCTGCCGTGGGGGCGGCGCTGGCCGGGAATCCTAGCTGAGCGTTGACCCCAACCAGCTCTTCTTCAGTTGGCACCCACAGTGCCTCAGGCTGCAGGCAGCGGGTTGGAAACAGGGCAGTGGGTGTGTGCTTGCGGCAGAGTGTGACGGAAGCCCGGCGGGCGGCTCGGGCCGGTGGCGTCCCGCATGTGCTGCGCCGCGGGAGCTGCCGGCCGTTGCCGCCGGGCGCACAGGCAGCAAGGTGCACAACGGTGGGAAGGGCCATGCATGTGTGGGGAGGCTCAGGGCAGGCAGGCAGGCTCACCGGATCGACCTGTAGCTGAGTCAGCGCCAGCCGTACCATCTCCTGAGAGGGACGGGGCAGGGCTGCTGGGGCGGGCTCCCGCTGCGGTGCAGGCGCCGCCGGCCGCTTGCTCGCCTGCGTGGGGACCGGCTGCGGTGCTGGCACTCGCGCCGGAGCAGCCGGACGCCAGGCATCTGGCACTGGCACTGGCCAGACCGGGCGCGGCTGCATCCACATCATCATGCTGTTGTGCAGCACCGCCCACTGCTGCTGCTCTGCTGGCTGCGACCCAGGGTCCGGCCCTGCAAGCTCAGCCTCAGGGTGGGCTGGGAACCGCGGCGGCGGCAGGGGCAGGCGCAGGGAGGGCACCTCGCAGGCGGGCTGGGATGGAAGGCCCGACGCATGCGGCAGCAGGCACGGCGCCTGCTGGAACGCCTGCTGCTGCACTGCCTGCTGCTGCTGCTGCTGCTGGCCCAGGCTGTGGTGCGCTGCCGCCGGCTCCTGCGCCCCCGCCTCGCTGCGTCTGCTGCGCTGCGGTGGCTGGCGTGGCTGCTGCTCCAGCGCCGGCTGCGTCTTGTCCTTGCTGAGTCCGCGCTGGCTCTTGTGGCGGTGCAGGCTGGCGCGGCAGCACCGCCGCCCCTCATCAAACGCCTCGAGCCCGTGCAGCTTCGAGCACTGCAGGCAGGCGGATGGGCAGGCGGCATATGCTTGGGGGCGGCTCGGCAGGCAAGCACAGATGCCTGAAGGAGAGGCGCTTGACCCGCTGCCCACCTGCTGGCACCAGCGGTGCGGCCCGCCCTCCAGCTCCAGAACAGGCGTCTCCTTGCACCGCATGCAAATCCTGTACTTCTGCGGCAGCAGGGAGGGCAGGTGCACGACAGCAAGTAGGGCTCATCAGTGTGGGTGCAATGGCCCAGCAGCCATTACCGTTGCCAACGGCGGGGAAGCATGTCCCGCCATTGGCCTGCCGCCATGTCGCCGAGTGCAGCCCGCATCATTTGTTCGCCCACCGTGCAGTAGCCGGGATCCAGCTTGGAGCTGCAGCCCGGGATGCGGCAGCTGCGTGTGCTGGGCGACCGATGCCGCTTGCATGGCGACGCGTCGCCGCTCAAGGTGCTGCCGCTGCTGGTACCCCCGCCAGTGCTGCCGCAGGGCTGCGAATGCTGGTGGCTGCCGCTGGTGGCGGAGGGGGCTGCGGGGGAGGGCGTAGGAGTACTGCCCGCAATTAGAGGAGGCGAGCAGCCAGGGGAACTGGCGGCCGGCAGCCAGCGGCGGCAGAGGACCTGGGCAGCTGCGCAGCGCTGGTCAGACTGGGGATGCAGCGCAGAAGCTTTATTCACTTGCAGTGCTGGCTTGTAGCACCCGCGACTACCGGCCTGTCCTCACCTGGCTCCGATGGCAACTCTCCTGCCAGGCGTTTTCGCATAGAGCTGGTTGCGCCCCAATTCCGTCAATTGACTGAGGTTAAATGTGTAACGTGAGCATCGAATGGGCCGAGTGTTGCGTTTTTCCGCAGGGCGCCACGTCCGCCGCCAGGTGGGACGCGGCCCCATCGTGAGATGGCCGCGGCCTGGATCTGTTGTGACCAGCTTCCTGTCCTCGGGGTACCCGCACTAAATGTTGCTTTCCGTAGCACCATACGGGCCCGGGGGCCTTGCAACACGCCTGGCCAGTCGGCGGCTTCAGCCTCTAGGCTTGCAGATGGCTGTGTTTCACTACTAGGGGCCAGGGGCAACTGGGTCACGGGGCAAAGGAGGGCAGAGACAGCACAGGCGGGCCAGCGACCCTATGTCATGAGCACCCGCGGCGGTCGCCACTGGCATGCATCTCAGTCAGCGAGTACTAGTAGGGCATCCTGCTGCTGCCCCCAGAGCCTACCCTCACACCAGCATCACCTTGCGGGCCAATGATGTATTGGCGGGTCCTGTGCTGCTACTCTAGCATGCCAGCCTCGGCCCACCGCGGCTGCCTGTCTCAACGACCGCTCCAGCGCTCCGGCAGTATCAGCGATGGCCGCATTGCGACCGCTCAGTAGGGGCAACGATTACATTGCAGTATCAGGCAGGCTCACAAAATTGACAACGCAGAGAGAGGGATCCAACAAGTGGGCTCGCATCTCATGCACAGCGTGGGCGGCTGGCTGGTATGCGCTTGCATGCAAAGGGAGAAATTTGGAAAGAATCAAGAAACAGAAACACATTGTGTAGCACAGCGGCAAGAGTTATGTCTGTAACATGCGTTAGCAGCAGGAAGGCAAAACTGTTGAACGGAGCGCTGGGCATTGGCGCCAGCGGCACAGCGCCGTTTTGCACGGTGCAATATGAATCAAGAAAGCCAAAGAATCAGGACATCAGGCAGGGATTGGTAGGTTCTCAGGGTAGCGCTCGATAGGTCTTGCCGTTTTTTCTTGTGATGAGTCCAGGGTGCATCAGGCGCTGGGCCTGCCCGGCACAGGCAAGGCCAGCGATGCCAGGCGCCAGCGGCCAGGCCTGCTCGCCGCCTATGAACAGCGCCTGCACCACGGTCGGCAGCGGCGTGTGGGCGGGTGCCGCGCAGCCGCTAGCGTTGCCGCTGCTGCCTGCTGCCGTGCTGCCGCGGAGAGCCAGAGGCGGCAGCGACGGAGGCAGGGCGGGTGGTGGCGTGGCAAAGGAAGCTTCCAGTTGGAATCCCATCTGGGAGTTGAAATGGTCCAGCTGGGCTGCGCTGGGCACCCACAGCGTGTCGGGCTGCAGCCGGGCAGGATGAGAGCAAGGTGGGAACAGGGTGAGAGGGGGCACGAGACACGCCGGCACACCGTCGGTTGGTGGGCCGCAGAGGCAAGGTGGGTGCCCCAGCATCCCGCGCCAACAGCGCTGAGCACATGCACATGCCCCGGCAAGGGAGGGCAGCACAGCGCTCACCATGTCGGCTTCCAGCTGCTGCAGGGCCAGGTGTGCCAGCTGCAGGTCTGGGGCGCGTGGTGGGGCTCCAGCCTGGCGATGCAGAGCCGACGCCGGTGCCACGGCAAGCGGCGGTGGCGTGGGCGGCAGCAGCGCCCACGGCGACGGTGCCAGCTGCACCAGCTGTGGCGGCAGCTGCGGCAGGGGCGGAGGCCGCGCCTGCGGCGAGCGCGCCCGCCGCTGCTCCTGAGCTTCTTCTGCGGCCCCCCCGGTGGCCCGCCTGCTGCTGGCCCAGCGCAGCTGCTGGTGGCGCAGCAGGCTGCCCTTGCAGCTGCGCCGCGCATCCTCAAACGCCTCGAGGCCGTGCAGCTTGGAGCACTGCAGGCAGGCAGACGGGCAGGTGGGCAGGCGGCATGTGGCTCGGCAGGCACAGCATAGACAAAAACATGGACCGCATAAAAGAGACACTTCCTCCGCTGCACACCTGCTGGCACCAGCGGTGCGGCACGCCGTGCACGTCCAGCACCTTCTGCTCTCGGCAGCGGTTGCAAATGCAGTACTTCTGGTGGGCAAGAAAGAGGGGCAGGGAGGCAGAAGGTGTTGGTGTTCAGGGAGGGACTTCAGCGGGAGCACGCTGGCTGCCAGATGCATGCATGCATGCAAGGAAGGTGGTACCATTCAGCCCCCGTGCTTATCGCCATCACAGGGCCCAGCCGAGCCGCACTCACCATGTTGTAGCTCGCAGCGAGGCGGCCGCCGCAGCCTGGGATGCGGCACTGCCGCCGGTGCGGCTGCTTGCCGCGCTGCCTGCTGCTGGGGTTGGAGCCGCAGCTGGCGCCATCCTCCCCGTGGCTGCCGCTGGTGGCCAGGCTCGGTTCCGAGGCATTGTTGTGGTGCTCGGTGGTAGCGGGATCGGCAGCGAGCGTGTCTGCACGGGCAGGCGCGGCGGGCGGCAACAGGCGGCGGGAGTCACGACCCTTGAGCTGGCACTACGGCTGCACATGCGACTGCTTGGTGCTGCTGGTAGTGGAGCAGAGCTCACACGTGAGGGGCAGACTCACCCAGCTCGAATGGGACGTCACCCTCCCGCACACACAGGGCAGGCACTTGGTGGACTCGTTGAAGGCGGAGGTTCTTGTGTATGGCAAGGCACATCAAATGGGATGATTGGGTGCGACCCAATCCGACAGCTCCGACATGCAGCCTCTACAACATCTCCGAACCATGGCTTTAAATATATGTAACGGCCTCCCATTGACACCCAGCAGCTCCAGCCAATTGGGGCGGCAAGCTGCGGCAGCACGCACCCCAGGGGTCTCAACCATCGGTGCCTATGCAACAAGAAGGTGTTATGTAACGATCGGCTAGCCGCTGCAAGTCGGGCCGCGGGCGCACATGCCAGGCCGCCAGTGCGGCGCTGCCTGCGCTGGCGCCGCAAAACCTGGCATGCGATGGGGCTCTGCATCAAGCTGGGCAATGCTGTAGCATTGGAGGGATTGCAAATAGTCTTCTCCTGGGCTGCTCTGGACAGCTCACCTCGTCAGCCTGAAGGGAGTGCTGCCAGGAGGCCAGCGGCATTCAGTCCATCCAAGCACCAGGCAAGAAAGCCTCAGAGCCACAGGGTGCCCAGGTCACTGCAGCTGATTTTCTCGTTGTTTTCAGCCCTCCCTCAGCTCATCCAAGTCCACTGCTGAACCTTCCAGCTCCAGATGGAGCTCCAAGGCAGCTGCCGCTGCGGGGCGGTTAAGTTCAGCTGCTTGAGCCAAGCCCCGGTGCCCTTCATGCGCTGCTACTGCAGGCAAGGCATGCAGGGAGGGGCTGGGCAGAGAATCAATCGCACTGGAGTGCAGTGGCTTGGGCGCCGGGGGGGGGGGGGGGGTGGGCGACGCCTCGTCCAAACATCCACGAGGGCTGTCCCTCTGCCCCTTTTGCAGCATCTGCCGCAAGGTCAGCGGCTGCGGCGGGTACGCCATCAACATCATGGCGCAGGCCGACAGCCTCAAGGTGGGCGGCTGCATGTTCTGCCTTCCCATCGCGCAGGATGAGCCAGCGCCCGGTCATCTCCCTGCCTGCCAGGCTCCCGGCCCACCCCGCCTGAGTGCTGCAGGTGACGGGCCGCGAGAACCTGAAGCCCTACCGGTTGATGCTGCCGGCGGAGAGCGGCGGCGCGCTGCAGGTGGGCGGGCATGCCCCGGCCGGCAGCAGGCCCCTGAGATCCCCCTGCCCAGCTCAAGGACAGCCGCCTCCGTGCCCCCTTGACGTGCAGCCCTCCACCAACACGCGGTTCTTCTGCAAGGAGTGCGGCTGCCACCTGTGGGCGCAAGACCCATCGTGGGAGCAGTGGTGCTACCCGTTTGCCGGCGCCATCGACACGGAGCTGCCTGTACCGCCCCGCAGCGTGCACATGATGCTCAAGGACAAGGCACCCTGGGTGGTGCCGCAGGTGGGGCCAGCAATGCGTGGGTGTGACTGCTCCTCTGCCTGCCCTGGGCCTGCTGGGCTCACGGAAGGGCTGCTGCCGGGCTGCAGGTGGGCCCCCAGGACGACCAGTTCGATGCGTATCCAGATCTCAGCATCGAGGAGTGGCACAAGAAGCACAAGCTGTGGGTGGAGTGAGGAGCGCGAGCAGAGTGGAGCGGTGCCAGCGCTGCACTGGCAATGGACGGCGGCATGTCAGCAATCTGATTGCCCCTCAGTGGCCAGCAAACTGGAGTGGTGCCAACGCCTTCCCGACATGGTGCCATGGGAGAAGGCGCCGCATGGGTGCTGCGCTGCTGGCGGCCCAGCTGTGACATCGGCCCTGGATCCAGTGCAAACCAAAGAGGTGTCCTGGGGCCGCAGCCCTCTGGCCTTGCCGCTCACTGACTGCTGGCTCGCAGGCGCAAAGAGCTGGGGCGCTGTGGGCAAGGCGCCACCTGTGGGTCGCCGCAGCAGCTGGTGGGGCGCAGCAGGGGTGTGCATGAATTGAGCTGGGCACCTCCTCGGGCCATCACTGGCGGCCATTACTGGCACCAGAGCTGTAGACATGTGCGGCAGGTTGGTGATGGTGCGTGAGCGAGGCATGAGGTGCCCCGCTTGTGTGCTTGCAATCACCGCAGATTGCACTGCAGGCCGCCCGGGAATGCGCTGGTCGCGGGTGGAGGCCTCCTGGCGGCAATCGGTCAAATGTGTAGTGCCCGCGTAGTGCCTTGGCCGGGGGCGCCTTCACGCCCCGGAATTGATGACAACCGCACTTGCGCTTTTGTGCAATCCATTCTCCGCCGCCAGGCCAGTTCGGTGCGCCCCTCCCGGCCCCCGCAGAGCCCAATCTCTTTTCTGGGCGCCACCAACTGCCGAGGCTCAAGCAGCGCCAGTCCACTCTCGGGGGTTCTTCGGGCAAGCACAATGTGTGGTGAGTGGTGGAGAGGAGCCAGGGGGCGGCGGGACGGCCGGGCCACGCGGTGGCAGCGCCTGCAGAACCGCCCTTCCTGCCCCCATGCCCCTGACCGCGCCCTCCCCCTTCCCTCCCTCCCCGCAGGCATCTTTGGCTTCTACTTCTACGATGTGAGCGCCCGCCGCCTGCCCTGCCGCCGCTGGGGTCTGCTGGTTGGGCCGCCCGCCGCCGCATGGCGCCGCATGCCCCGGCAGTTGCAGATCGCGCGCCGCCGCCGCCATCTCTGCCCCCCTGCCCTCACCCCTGCCTGCACCCCCTCCCCACGCCCGCCCGCAGGTGCGGCACAGCCACCAGGAGATCCTGAACACGCTGTTTGACGGCCTGCGGCGGCTGGAGTACCGCGGCTACGACTCGGCGGGCGTGTCGATCGACTGGCCGGTGCAGGCCGAGGGCGAGGCCGCGCCCTCCACCAAGCCCGTGGTCATCAAGGCCAAGGGCAAGGTGGACGACCTGGTGAAGCTGGTCAGCGAGGAGATCAAGGGCTTCCCCTTTGACCCCAAGGCCCAGGTCAAGGCGCACGCCGGCATCGCGCACACGCGGTGGGCCACCCACGGCCCGCCCTGCGCCCGCAACTCCCACCCCCACGTCTCCTCCCCCGACCACGAGTTCGTGGTGGTGCACAACGGCACCATCACCAACTTCCGCGCCCTCAAGGAGTTCCTGGTGGGTGCTGGCCGCCGCGCTGAGAGGGGCACCGCCAGCCGGGCGCCTGGCTTGTGGCTGGCTGGCTGATGTGCCCGCTCGACGCCAAGGGGCACACAAGCTGAACGGCTGCCTAGGTGCTGCGCCAGCGCGCCGCATAATCCCTGCCCGCCCGCCCGCCCAATGCGCCGCGGCCCCAGCCAGCCCTCTCATCCTCACCATACCTTGCTGCTTTCCCTTCCGCCCGCAGATGAAGGAGGGCGAGACGTTTGAGAGCGACACCGACACGGAGGTCATCCCCAAGCTGTGCAAGTTCCTGTACAGGTTGGGCCCACACAGGGGCAGCTGTGACGGCCCCGCTCCGGCGCCTGCCTTGCACCTGCACGTCTGGCGCCAGCGCTTGGGTCTGCTATGCCACGCCAAGCGCGCCCCATTCTGCATCCGCCCCCGTCGGCTCCTGCGCCACCCCCCTTGACCCCCCCCCCCCCCC